CAACTTTCATATGGAGCCCAAGATCTAAAAAGGCCATTATCAAGTCCAAATTGTAGCAACAACAAAGAAGCCCGAATCTGTCTTCCAGCCCGAGCACTGTTCGGTATTTTGGCCATATCTGGAGTTCTAGAAGTCCAAATGAGCTGAATGTTTTACACAAGAAAGCTAAGACAATTGCCTACAACTTTCATGTTTGCAACTGGCTCCAGTTTTGACGTTATCAATGACGTTTTGGGCAGACAAGAGAAGATAAGGATTGTCACCAAGTCAAAAGTTGGCCACCCACTTATCAATTAGTCATCAAATCAATAGTTCCCAATTTTGGCCTATAAAAGGAGGCATTTGCCATGCATTTAGGCATCTTGGTTTCCAGATCAAGATCATGCTCTTCCTTTCTCTCTTTGTATTTTTTGTAATGTTTATGCTTTGCTTTCATTAATATTAAGTTTATGCTTTTCATTTCCTTTTCTTTACTTAGTTAGCTTTTATGTTCTTATTTTGTTTATCTATTTTTCTTTCATTCATTATGTCTAGCTAAGTTTATTATGTCAAGGTGAAAAGGCTACACTAATGGTGTAAGAATAAGTATAATGTAAACTTAATATGGACTTTAATGTTTGATACTAACATGTTTTATATTTGTTATCTTGTTCACTCTTTAATACTTTGCTTGTTAAATGACTAATCTTGATTTATGTTGTATAACACTTGGTACAACAAATGCTTGGCACTTTCATAGCCCATAATGTATGGTATAACCGACACCTGAGCTATGAAAGGAACTTGATTTATTGTTAACATAAGTTATAATCATGAATGCTTGACGAGATTTACAAGTATTAGCATTAATTGAATAAGATGACTAATGTAATCATGTTAACAATATATAATCTGATTGGAACCTCCTTTGTGTGTGGTTTCCAATTCAATAATAAGAGTTTATACTATATTTGTTTGATATACCATTAATGGAACCTCTAACCTTGACATTTGTTATTATTATTGTTTAATCCTTACATTAATTTTCCATCTCCAAGTTCTCATCATCTTCTTCTTCTCTTTCTTTATTATTATTATTACTACTACTACTACGACTACTACTACTATTATTATTATTATTACTACTACTACTACGACTACTACTACTATTATTATTATTATTACTACTACTACTACGACTACTACTACTATTATTATTATTATTACTACTACTACTACTACTACTACTACTACTACTATTATTATTATTATTATTATTATTATTATTATTATTATTATTATTGTTGTTGTTGTTGTTGTTGTTATTATTCTTGTTGTTGTTGTTATTGTTATTGTTATTGTTGTTGTATTATTGTTATTTATAATTTGTACAATTAACCTCCCTGTGGTTCGACCCCTGTCTTGCTGGATTATTTATTACTTCGACACTCCTGCACTTGGGAGAAGACATCAATCTTTTAGTCGTGTCAATTGTCTCTTGCTTTTTAATGAATGCATACAATGTTTCCTCAAGATTTCTTCTAGGAGGTGGAGCATAAAGAGGTACATATCTATAAGAATTTTAAAAATTATGGTGTTCTTGAAATGATGGCTGTGAAGTTTGTGTATTATTATTATCACTCTTCCAATTGAAATTTGGGTGATTTCGCCAACCAGAGTTCTATATTTACAAGTATTGGTTATGATTAGGCCTTTATAAACTGTTTAAAACATAGGCTTGTTCATAAAGGCATTTCTTAAAAGAAGGTAAAGTTGGACAGTCATTAGTTAAATGTTTATTGGTTTCACAGATTTGATACACAATATCTTAAATATATTTTAATTTTCTACTCTTTTTCAATACTAGTGCCTTGACTTTTCTAGTTAAAGATGCAAACTTGGCTTGGAAGTCATGATCTTCCCTAGGGTTGTACATACCTCCACTAGATATATGAGGTTGAGTTTTTTCTGGTATCTCATAAGTATCTGTGGTGTCTAAATTTTGAGCATTTTCAGCTAAGAAGTCTAAGTACTTCATTGTTTCATCAGGATCTTTATCTTTAAAAGTTCAATTACACATCAATTCCACCATTTGCCTATCCCTAGGTGTTAACCCTTTATAAAAATATGAAACCAATCTCCATATTTCAAAACTATGATGAGGGCAAGTATTAAGCAAGTCTTGATATCTATCCCAATATTGGTAAAATGTTTCTCCTGTTTTTGAGTGAAAATGGTGATTTGTCTTTTAAAAGAGCTTGTTTTGTGAGATGGAAAAAACTTCTTCAAAAATTATCTTTGCATTTCATCTCAAGCACGAATGGATCCTGCTCTCAAATTTTATAGCCATGTTTTGACTTTATCTTTTAATGAAAAAATAAAAAAGCTTTAATCTGATTGTGTTCCTATTATAATTTAAGTTATTATAAGTGTTACAAACCTCCTCAAATTCTCTTAAATACAAGTATGGATTTTCTAAATCTAAACCATGAAAAGAAGGTAAAATTTGAATAATGTCTGACTTAAAATTAAAATGAGATGTATCAGGGGGGAAAACTATGCATGATGGTGTACTTATTCTTATAAGATTCATGTGATCTCTAAGTGTTCTAACTCGATTATTCTCATTATTCTCATTATAAAACGACTGATTATGTTTTTCCACTATATTTTTAAAAAATGATGAGGATACCTAAAAAAGTCTACCACTTAATATACATGACCAAAGTTTCATATACGTGTAGGAAGAGAATAAAATGGAAGAAATGAAGGAAAAAAATACTATAATTTATACAAAAATTTATCTCCCCGGCAACAGCGCCAAAAACTTGACATGACTAAAAGATTGATGTCTTCTTCTAAGTGTAGAAGTGTCGAAGTAATAAATAACTCGATAAGATTAGAGGTCAAACCATAGAAATGTTAACTATAATAATAATGATGATAATGATGATGATGATGATGATGATGATGAATTGAAGAGGATTTTGAGATGTAAGATTAATGTAAGGAATAAACAAGGGTAAAATAATTGTCAACGTTAGAGGATCCACTAATGATATTTCAAACAAGTATAGTATAAACTCGTTTTATAACTCAACTGGAAACTACATACAAAGACAGTTCTAATCTGATTATAAATTGTTAACATGATTACATTAGTTATCTTATTCAAATCATGTTAATACTTGTAAATGTTGTTAGGTATTTATGATTATAACTTATGATAACAACAAATTAAATTCTTTTTATAGCATAAGTGCCGGTCATACCATACAGTTGGACTATGAAAGTGCCAAGTATTTATTGTACCATTTTTTATACAACACATATCTAGATTAAAAATTTAACAAGCAAAGTATTAAAAGTGAATAAGATAACAAATATAAAACATGTTAGTATCAAACATTAAGGTCCATGTGGAGTTTATACTATTCTTATTTGTACACCATTAGTATAACCTTCTCACCTTGACATAATAAAGTTAACTAAACATAATAAAAGAGAGAAACATGAATAAATAAGATAAGAATATTAATAAGATAAAAGTTAACTAAGTAAATGAAAAGAAATGAAAAGTGTAAACAAGAGATTAATATAAGCAAAATTTAAACATTATAATAAAGAGAGAGCAAGAACATGATTTTGATATGAAAACCAAGATGTCTAAATGCATGGCAAATGTCTCTTTTTATAGGCCAAAATTAGAAACTATTGATTTGTTGACTAATTGTTGAGTGGGTGACCATATCTTGACTTGGTGACAATTCTTATCTTCTTGTCTAAACAAGATGTTATTGCTAACATCAGAATTTGAACAGACTTCAGTCATGAAAGTTCTAAGAAATTGTCTCAGCTTTTCAACAAAAAAAAAATTGAGGTCATTTGGACTTGTAGAACTCAAGATCTGGGCTGAACACTGAATTGTGTCTAGGATGCAGGACAGATTCGGACTGCTCCGTTATTGCTAAGATTTGGACTTCCAAACAACAGAATTGAGTCTTGCATTACGCATGAATGTTTTAGGCCAATGTCTTAATTTTTCATCCCTATAAGTCCTTGTATAGTTCCATTTGTACATTTATGGTTTTAATCCTTTAACACTTAAGTTCCCAAATATCATATATGCAGCAAACATTGTGAAACAAAATTATTTGAGACTCCCTAGGATCCAATTAGATAAATCTAGAGTTTTTTAAGGATTTATTACTTATAGATCTGATCTTTTTCAACTTTTAATAATTTCTTAAAGGTTGGATTGTCGCAAACTACAAATGTCTAATAATGCCTAGAGTGCTAGCTCTAATATTATGTTTATGTAGTTTTTTTGTCTAATAGTTAACTGCTCCTCTTATAAAAAAATAAGAGACATAACTTACTATTTATAAAAAAAATATATAAAGAAAAAAATCTTATAAATTGGCAAAATATCAATTTCCCCTTTAATAATATCCATATATTAATCTATGATAATTTTAGATATCAACTCAATCAAGTCGTTACTTGATTTTTCTAGATTTCGAAATATAATCCATGTATTAATTATATTATAGTATGTAGTTTCTTAAATATATTTTAATCAAGTAATATTTAACTAAATCATCCCATTTTAATTTTTACCTAATGATTCTTAATTTGTGTGACCCATTAGGTTCCTAATATGTTGACTCAAATATAAATTATAATTATAATTAAATAAAATAAACAATTTAATGTATTATCAATTTAACAATAAATTAATTTATATTTTAAGATCAGGTGCATCATCTAGTAACGTATCATGATCTTCCAAATAATAAAAAAGTCCTTAATGGTTAACTTAATCTTTCAATGACTGGTTTCTAAATATAATTAATATCCTTTCATCAATAATGTTATGATTTAGCATTAAAGAATGAAGTATGTTTGTTATCTTAAATTATGTTTGTTCTCTACATAATAGTCATTTAACATTTGAATAAGATTTGAAACCCTTTTCAAATCTCATTCCACCCTGGCTAAGGATTTCTCAATCAATACTATTTTCTCTAATTTACCTAGGGTGATGAATCCTCTCTTGATCACTTAAAGACCTTTATATAGTTCATGTTATGAATCCTGTCATGATCATTTAAAGACTGACACGACGAAAAGATTAATGTCTTCTCCCAAGTGCAGGAGTGTCGAAGTAATAAATAACCCGGCAAGACCGGGGTCAAACCATATGGAGGTTAATTGTACAAATTATAAACAACAATTATAAACAACAACCATAGTAACAATAACAACAATAATAATAGTAGCAATAATAATACTAATAATACTAGTAGTAGTAGTAGTAGTAGTAGTAGTAATAACAATAATAAAGAAAAAGAAGAAGAAGAAGAAGAAAAGTTGATGAGAACTTTGAGATGGAAAATTAACGTAAGAATTAAACAATGATAACAAACAATGTCAAGGTTAGAGGATCCACTAATGGTATGTCAAACAAGTATAGTATAAACTCTTGTTGTACCAAGTGTTATACAACATAAATCAAGATTAGTCATTTAACAAGCAAAGTATTAAAGAGTGAACAAGATAACAAGTACAAACCATATTAGTATCAAACATTAAAGTCCATATTAAGTTTACACTATACTTATTCTTACACCATTAGTGTAACCTTTTCACCTTGACATAATAAACTTACCTAGACATAATGAAAGAAAGAAAAATAAATAAACAAAATAAGAACATAAATAAGATAAAAGTTAGCTAAGTAAATGAAAGGAAATGAAAGGCATAAACTTGATATTAATGAAAGCAAAGCATAAACATTACAAAAAATACAAAGAGAGAAGGCAAGAGCATGATCTTGATCTAGAAACCAAGATGCCTAAATGCATGGCATATGCCTCCTTTTATAGGCCAAAATTGGGAACTATTGATTTGAGCCAAAATTGGGAAGCATGGCAAATGCCTCCTTTTATAGGCCAAAATTGGGAACTATTGATTTGATGACTAATTGATGAGTGGGTGACCAACTCTTCACTTGGTGACAATCCTTATCTTCTCTTGTCTGCCCAAAACATTATTGATAACGTCAAAATTGGAGCCACTTGAAAACATGAAAGTTGTAGGAAATTGTCTCAGCTTTCTTATGTAAAAAATTCAGCTCATTTTGACTTCTACAACTCTAGATATGACCAAAATACTAAACAGTGTTCGGGCTCAAGGACAGATTCGGGCTTCTTTGTTGTTGCTATAATTTGGACTCGAAAATGGCCTTTTTAGATCTTGGGATCCATATGAAAGTTGTAGGCCTATGTCTTAACTTTCCATCCATATAAAGTAGACCTAAATTTGATATCTACAGCTCCAGATATGACCCAATTACCAAACAGTGTTCTGGTTTAGATTGCACCGACATCTCTTTTCTAAGTTTGGTCATCTCTTTGCCCTTGCAATTTAAGTTCTTAAAATCATTAATCAATCCTTTCATTTATGTGATAGGTCTGCATTTAAAATGAATATTTACCATAAATTAATGGTATCTTATATTATTAGATATATTATTATAAAACATGCTTTAGTTAAGGAGTTATTCATACTTCAAGTGCAAAATGATGATATAAAACCTTGATAAAAATGCACTTTTAAGTACTAATCAAAGACCTTTATATAGTTCATGTTATATCTAATGTCTGCCTTTTCGTTACCTATATTAAGATAATATGTAACAGGATCAAAGTATAACATTCTTTATATAAGATGACTTAGTGAGCTCAAGTCCAAGGACTACTTACACAACTGTCACAAGCTTTTTCATTGACATAAGTGATCTCTTTATATGGAATTCAAATGCAGGTCAGTTAAGTGTAGATGTCTTATAACAAGCACCTACATATTAGTTTATGCGTACCTTATAGTTCAGCTTATAAGAACAACTGTATCCTTTCATAAAAGAAAGAACATAATATATATCAGTCTCTACAACTCTAGTAAATATCTAGTATTTAAGAGAGCATCGACTAGGAACATTATAGGAACAATACTTTGATGAAATAGAAATCATATAATTATAACAACTTTATAATTTTCTTTGCAAAACATTTTTGTCTTATGAACTTTATCTTTGCTCTAGATTCATTAATCTAATATTAAACCTTTGTTAATAATAAATATGTATTTACATGACTGTTGCGATGTCGCGGTCGCACAAATTAATTACCCTTACACTTAAATCACACAAGATAGTATAGAGCAAGCAAGGGATTGATCCCACGAGGAAGATTTAGTTCAGATTTTTATGCTATACGTTATGCAATTGGGGGGTTTTGATTTGTGATAATCTAAAATATAGAAGAAATTAAACTAGTGAACACGATCAATTAAAACTGAAATTTATCAAGAAAACAAACCTTGGTCACAAGCACACATCCACTTACAAAAATCAGAACTGATCCTTAAAACGAAACTCCAGTTTATATTCTGAATTTTTATCTTTTCTTAACTTTGGTTAATTAACGGATCCGCCGTATAACTAGCCCTAACCAACAAATAATCACAGTGTCTGCACTAATGATTTAATCTAATGGCAGCCTTAAGATCTAGATAAATTCATTAATCTTAACAACCAAGTTGTCTGCTTGTGTTGCTTTGATCGAATGTTTTCCCTAAGTTTAATAACGTAGTTCTGCCACAATTATCAAGCTTAGTTGCTTCACAAGTTTATATACCCTAACTCCGGTTTTGATATCAAACTTAGCAATAGATTGTTCACAATAATAACTTAGAGTCCGCTCTAGCAATTATCAACAACAATCATAGAAAACATGCATAGGAAAACAATCATACTCATTCATAATACAAACTGAAAATAAATAAAGAACAAATCTCACAGTTCTTGAAATCTGAAAGTTTATGCGTCCTTGCAACCAAGAAAAGAGCTTAGCCTTGCATATCTATTGAACAACTACTCCTAAAGATAAAAGAAAGCATTATTTCTAGTATGTAGAGAGGAGAGTTTGTGTTTCTTCACTTCTAGTTGCTACCACCTTTCTTTGATTCTATTGCACTCCCTCCTCTTCTTTCTTGGCTCTCTTGATGTCTATATATAGGCTTCAATGGCAGCTCCTCTTGCTTCTTTATCAACAATGGTGGCTGCCAAACATGCCAAACTTTGACATTAGTAGTCACCACAAACAACCCACTATTGTAGCCTCCTTCTTTGACAATGGCAGCATTCCAACTTGCAGCTGGTTTGTGGTTGGTGATTTGAGGTTGGTGGATTGAGGTTGGTGGCTACTTTTCTTGACCTTCTAGATTGATTTACTAGAGGGGCTAAATTGCTGAAATTATAACTTGGATGATAGTTTAGAAGCTTCGAAACATAATTTGGACTCATTTCTTCACGAAACCTGATTGCTGGCAGAATTCAGTTGTCATCTTTGAAACATCATATCGCCATCATCTGACATCGTTTTTGGCTGAAAATTGGAGTGTTTCTAGACCTTTGAGTCATGAATCCAACAAAATTGAGTTTGCATCAATTGGACTTCTATAGCTCCAGATATGGAATTTTGAATGGACAAAGGTCAATAGTGGCAGAATACGAGATTTGACTTTGAAGGATGTGATTTCCATGATCTTCCTCTTTGTATTTTTCTTGCATTACATTTCCAGAAAGGTATGGATGTTAGCTTTTTAGAGCCACTGGAATCACTTTATTTTGATCTCTAGAAATCACGCTCTGCACAAAACATCAACTGAACATCAAATCTGCCAATTATCTCCAATTTACTCCTTTTTGCATTTTTCATCCAAAAGTGCCTTCAAAACACAAAACAAAGAATATCAAGGCATTTTACATATAAAACATGGACAAAACATTAGGTAAATGTGGGTGAAACAATCGAATAATATGGTTACATCAAATACCCCCACACTTAGCTCTTTCTCGTCCTCGAGAAAGGATAAATAAAATTAAATTGAAAATAACCATGATCAATCTCTTAATCTCCCATCAATGTCCAAGAGTACAGGCATTATAAATAAGAATATAATAAAAAAGAATAAAATAAATAAATTTTTATGAATTTGTTTACATGCAAACTTCAAAATTCAATCAATCATCGGTATTTAAATGAAATCTATGTCATGCCAAAGTGATAGGTCCTCTCATTGATATACACTTCAACACTCATGTGTTTAGGGTTTATGTGTCTAAATCTCTCAAATTCAATCAAAGAGTATGTTCTACCATAAGCTTGCTTTTCAATCTCATCTCCATTATTAATATATTACAGACAATGCATGAATCAAAAGGTCTTATTTTCCGGTTGTAATTGGGCTAAGGTTAAGGTGAGGTAAAAGAGAGTAAAAGAAAAGGTTCAAATCAAAGAAAGTGGAGCATTCCGAAAAATGATATTTCAAACAAGATATTCCATCAAAGCTCATAAATTTTTCATCTTTAATCACCAATGCTTAACTACTTTTGTTTTTAAGCATAAAATCTTAAGAACATAAAGGAACATTTTTTTCTTCTTTTTTTTTTCTTTTTTGTTTTTTTTTTGTAATTTTGCCCATCTTTTCATCAAGCATCACTTCTTCTGTCTTTTCACATAATTTCCAACCATAATTCCATGAAATATCACAAGTATATGCTCTACTAATCCTTGGCCAGGGGAAAAGGAAAACATATATAAAGTTAAGGCTTATACATGGATAAAGAAAAGATAAATAAGCTCAAAAGGGGCTCACTAAGGATAATATGCTTTAGGTTGGCTTTTTGGTTCAAGTGATTGAAATTCCTAATGCCTTTATCATCTTCATGTATATTTGTAATGGAATATAATCTCAATAAGATATGAAGCAAGTTCTAGAGATACATATCATTGAAAGAATGCACACTCAAAGAATATAATGTGGAAGGCTCAAAAGCTTGCATTGGTATAACACTATAAAGTCAACATGACATATTCTCAAAGTCAATCCTTAAATCAATTAAACCTTAAAATTTGCATGCATACTCCTTCATTTGATTTATCTCTTCATCTATCTCAATTAATTCTCATACGTAATACTCATATTCTCAAAAACCAATGGGAGTTAAAAAGATCAAACATAATTTTTTTTTTTAAACAACAAAGAAAACTAAAATAAGAAAATAAAAATTCTCCCAATACCCCCACACTTAAAACACAACATTGTCCTCAATGTTGAAATAAAAGCAAAGGAACATAAGAGAATGGCAGAAAATAAATTAAAATACAAAAAAGTAAAAGATAAGGAAAAAGAAAGCAAATCTGATTTTTTTTTTTGGTGCTAGGTTGCCTCCTAGTAAGCGCTTTTGTTTTATGTCATTGGCTTGACATGTGGCATGCTCATTCCTCATAGATTGGTTCATCTAACTCTATAGAAGCGGTGAGTTCTGTCGTCCAACCTTCATAGAAAGGGTTCAAACGATGTCCATTGACCTTGAGTACTTTGTTGGTTTCTAAACTTGTAATTTCAACTGCACCATAAGGAAAAATATTAGAAACAACAAAAGGTCCAATCCAACGAGAGTGCAATTTTCCAGGAAAAAGTTTTAAACGCGAATGATAAAGAAGGATTTTGTCTCCAACATGAAATTCCTTTCTTGTAAGCATTCGATAATGAAGATTCTTAGTCTTTTCATTGTAAATCCTTGCATTCTCGTAAGCTTCATTTTGTTTTTCTCTCAACGTGGTGGTAGTCCTTTTGGGTACCAAAAGGATAGACGCCACCCATTCACTGTCTGTGATGGGGGGAATGACTCCTGCATCATGAAGGATAATTTGCGAAGCTTGTAAAGCCAATGCTGATTCATGCACATTTTGGGGAACACATATATGCCTCTCCATCTCTTCTATCTTGGTAAAATCATAGCTATAGCTCAAAGCTATGCTTAATCCATCTTCGCTATCAAAATCACAAACCTGCTGCATACACTTATCAACTTGGTCATAACATGTGATAGAATAAACATTGTTATAAGGATATGTCATTGCATCATGAAAATTAAATTCAATCTTTTCATCTCCTACCTCCATAGACAAAGTATCCTTACCACAATCAATCTTTGTATTGGCAGTTTTCAAGAATGGTCTCCCAAACAATATAGGAGTGCTGGTTAATAAATCACAAGAATCATGTTCCATATCAAGAATATAAAAATCACATGGAATAACCAAACTATCAATCTTGACTAGGACATCTTCTATCACACCAAGTGGGTAAACAAAACTACGATCTGCAAGTTGTATTACAATGCTAGTTTTATTCAAAGGTTTCAGACTAAGAGAATCATAAACATGTTTAGGCATAACACTAATGGATGCACCTAAATCACATAAAGCTCTTTTAAAACTAGCATTACCAATAACACATGGGATAGTAAACGCACCTGGGTCTTTTTGCTTTAAAGGCATATTCTTTTGAACAATAGCAGACACAACTTCACCCATACTTACCATTTCATGACCTTTCAATTTGAAAGCTCTCTTGGTAGTACACAACTCCTTCAAAAATTTGGCATACTTGGGAATTTGCTTGATAGCATCAAGCAAAGGAATGTTGAGTTCTACTTTCTTGAAAACCTCTAAAATTTCTTTTTCTTTATCCTCTTTCTTTGACCTAGAAGAACTCACAGGAAAGGGTGGAATTGCTTTAAAACTAGAATTCATTGAGTGAGGAGTTACCTTTGGAGTGTTGGTCGTTGTTTCAGTTTGGAAAGGAGAAGGATGTTTCTTCTTTGTACTTAATTCAGTTTCTATCTCTTCTTCTTCCTCCATCTCAATCTCTTTCGACCTTTTCTCTTCAAGTTCTTTCCCACTTCTCAGCATGATCGCACTAACATTCTCTTTTGGATTCAATGCCTGGGAAGGCAATTTTCCATTCATTTGTGCCTCCAATTTCCCTACACTTGAAGCTACTTGCCCCATTTGCTTCTCCAAGTTGTGAATACTTGACCTTGTTTCCTGTTGAAAAGACATGACATTTTGTTGCAAGGTAACAGTATTAGAAGCCAAAGTTTTCATCATCTCACGAAGATCATCATTGGATGACGACCCAGTAACATTGGAGTTTGTGAATGGAGGGGGTTGTCTTGCTTGATAATTCTGTTGGGGCTGAAATCCATGGGGATGGAATTGTCGGCCTTGATTGCCTTGTTGGGATGGGTTGCCATAGCGTAAGTTGGGATGATCTCTCCATCCGGGATTGTACGTGTTGGAAAAGGGATCATATTTACGCTGGAGCTGTCCGTTGAATGCTCCATCAATTGCATGAGCTTGTTCAATATAATCTTCTTGCATTGTTGGGCACATATCCGAAGCATGTCCTTGTAAGGAGCATATGCTACAAACTTTCACCTGCTGCACATTTCCACAAGCCAAAGAACGCACAAGAGAAGTAAGATCATTAACTTTATTCTCAATGTTAGAAATACTTACCTCATTTACTCGTTTGTTGGAGAAGTCTCCACGAGTGCCAAACTGTTTTGAGTTGGCTGCCATGTTTGAGATCAATTGGCGTGCAGCCTCGGGTGTCTTATCCACCAATGCGCCTCCACTTGCAGCATCAATGATACTACGGTCAGTAGGCATTAATCCTTCATAGAAATATTGAATGAGCAACTGATCGGGTATTTGATGATGAGGACATTGAATGCACAGTTGCTCAAATCTTTCCCAATACTCAGAGAGTGTCTCTCCATGAGATTGCCGAATCCCACATATTTCTTTCCTTATGTTGGCAACTCGAGATGCTGGGAAATACTTCTCAAGGAAAATCTTCTTCATGGCATTCCAAGTTCCAATAGATCCTGGGAGAATAGAGAAAAGCCATGCCTTTGCTGCCCCTTTTAAAGAGAAAGGGAAAGCTTTCAACTTAACCTGTTCTTCATCAACTCCATTCGGTTTCATGCCAACACAAACCATATGGAACTCCTTGAGATGAGTATGTGGATCTTCTCCTGCAAGACCATTAAATGTTGGTAACAAATGTATAAAACCAGATTTGAGCTCAAAGTTTACATTATTGTCAATGTTTATGCATAGTGGCTGATTTTCCACATTAGGAGCAGCAAGCTCCTTGAGTGTTTGTTGTCTTGCAATAGCCATGGTGTTGAGGCGAGCTTCCTTTCTTAACCTGCGTAAAGTGCTTTCTATTTCAAAATCAACCTGCACTTGAATTTGATTAGTAGAACGGGTCACAGGCATCAATTGCTAAGAAAATTCAAAAGAAAGAAACCACACAAGAGACGAAAAATAATGCAAATTATATGAAAATCCAACGCTAGGAAACTAAAATTGCCTAAAAACCTTAGATAACAGAGGAATTTGGCCTCGAAATGGTAAGGTTAGTGGTTTACCACTAGTCTTGTTCAAAACGTCATTTCCCTTCAGAAAACAAAAGGTCGAACCTTAATTCCACAAACAAATCTGTTTTGAACAGTACCGTTGCGGCAAGTGAACAGTACCGCCGCAAGCAAAAAACTTTTTTTTTTTGTTTTTTTTTTTCTGAATAATAATAAATAATAATCACAGCAAATAAAAATAACAGTACAAGCACAAGAATTAACTAAAATTACTTCCCCGGCAACGGCGCCAAAATTTGTTGCGATGTCGCGGTCGCACAAATTAATTACCCTAGCTTAAATCACACAAGATAGTATAGAGCAAGCAAGGGATCGATCCCACGAGGAAGATTTAGTTTAGATTTTTATGCTATATGTTATGCAATTGGGGGGTTTTGATTTGTGATAATCTAAACTATGGAAGAAATTAAACTAGTGAACACAATCAATTAAAACTGAAATTTATCAAGAAAACAAACCTTGGTCACAAGCACACATCCACCTACAGAAATCAGAACCGATCCTTGAAACGAAACTCCAGTTTATATTCTGAATTTTTATCTTTTCTTAACTTTGGTTAATTAACGGATCCGCCGTATAACTAGCCCTAACCAACAAATAATCACAGTGTCCGCACTAATGATTTAATCTAATGGCAGCCTTAAGATCTAGATAAATTCATTAATCTTAACAACCAAGTTGTCTGCTTGTGTTGCTTTGATCGAATGTTTTCCCTAAGTTTAATAACGTAGTTCCGCCACAATTATCAAGCTTAGTTGCTTCACAAGTTTATATACCCTAACTCCGGTTTTGATACCAAACTTAGCAATAGATTGTTCACAATAATAACTTAGAGTCCGCTCTAGCAATTATCAACAACAATCATAGAAAACATGCATAGGAAAACAATCATACTCATTCATAATACAAACTGAAAATAAATGAAGAATAAATCTCACAGTTCTTGAAATCTGAAAGTTTCTGCGTCCTTGCAACCAAGAAAAGAGCTTAGCCTTGCATATCTATTGAACAACTACTCCTAAAGATAAAAGAAAGCATTATTTCTAGTATGTAGAGAGGAGAGTTTGTGTTTCTTCACTTCTAGTTGCTACCACCTTTCTTTGATTCTATTGCACTCCCTCCTCCTCTTTCTTGGCTCTCTTGATGTCTATATATAGGCTTCAATGGCAGCTCCTCTTGCTTCTTTATCAACAATGGTGGCTGCCAAACTTGCCAAACTTTGACATTAGTAGTCACCACAAACAACCCACCATTGTAGCCTCCTTCTTTGACAATGGCAGCATTCCAACTTGCAGCTGGTTTGTGGTTGGTGATTTGAGGTTGGTGGATTGAGGTTGGTGGCTACTTTTCTTGACCTTCTAGATTGATTTACTAGAGGGGCTAAATTGCTGAAATTATAACTTGGATGATAGTTTAGAAGCTTCGAAACATAATTTGGACTCATTTCTTCACGAAACCTGATTGCTGGCAGAATTCAGTTGTCATCTTTGAAAAATCATATCACCTTCATCTGACATCGGTTTTGGCTGAAAATTGGAGCGTTTCTAGACCTTTGAGTCATGAATCCAACAAAAGTGAGTTTGCATCAATTGGACTTCTATAGCTCTAGATATGGAATTTTGAATGGACAAAGGTCAACAATGGCAGAATACGAGATTTGACTTTGAAGGATGTGATTTCCATGATCTTCCTCTTTGTATTTTTCTTGCATTACATTTCCAGAAAGGTATGGATGTTAGCTTTTTAGAGCCACTGGAATCACTTCATTTTGATCTCTAGAACTCACACTCTGCACAAAACATCGACTGAACGTCAAATCTGCCAATTATCTCCAATTTACTCCTTTTTGCATTTTTCATCCAAAAGTGCCTTCAAAACATAAAACAAAGAATATCAAGGCATTTTACATATAAAACATGGACAAAACATTAGGTAAAAGTGGGTGAAACTATCGAATAATATGGTTACATCAAATACCCCCACACTTAGCTCTTGCTCGTCCTCGAGAAAGGATAAATAAAATTAAATTGAAAATAACTATGATCAATCTCTTAATCTCCCATCAATGTCCAAGAGTACAAGCATTATTAATAAGAATATAATAAAAAAGAATAAAATAAATAAATTTTTATGAATTTGTTTACATGCAAACTTCAAAATTCAATCAATCATCGGTATTTAAATGAAATCTATGCCATGCCAAAGTGATAGGTCCTCTCATTGATATACACTCCAACACTCATGTGTTTAGGGTTTATGTGTCTAAATCTCTCAAATTCAATCAAAGAGTATGTTCTACCATAAGCTTGCTTTTCAATCTCATCTCCATTATTAATATATTACAAACAATGCATGAATCAAAAGGTCTTATTTTCCGGTTGTAATTGGACTAAGGTTAAGGTGAGGTAAAAGAGAGTAAAAGAAAAGGTTCAAATCAAAGAAAGTAGAGCATTCTGAAAAATGATATTTCAAACAAGATATTCCATCAAAGCTCATAAATTTTTCATCTTTAATCACCAATGCTTAACTGTTTTTGATTTTAAGCTTTTGCAACATAAAATCTTAAGAACATAAATGAACTTTTCTGTCTTTTTTTCTTTTTTCTTTTTCTTTTTTTGTAATTTTGCCTTTCTTTTCATCAAGCATCACTTCTTTTTTTTCTTTTCACATAATTTCCAACCATAATTCCATGAAATATCACAAGTACATGCTCTACTAATCCTTGGCCAGGGGAAAAGGAAAACATATATAAAGTTAAGGCTTATACATGGATAAAGAAAAGATAAATAAGCTCAAAAGGGGCTCACTAAGGATAATATGCTTTAGGTTGGCTTTTTGGTTCAAGTGATTGAAATTCCTAATGCCTTTATCATCTTCATGTATATTTGTAATGGAATATAATCTCAATAAGATATGAAGCAAGTTCTAGAGATACATATCATTGAAAGAATGCACACTCAAAGAATATAATGTGGAAGGCTCAAAAGCTTGCATTGGTATAACACTATAAAGTCAACATGGCATATTCTCAAAGTCAATCCCTAAACCAATTAAACCTTAAAATTTGCATGCATACTCTTTCATTTGATTTATCTCTTCATCTATCTCAATTAAT